TATAGATAATATATTTGTAAAATTATAAAATTATTTGTTTGATTTAATTTTTTATAAATAGCAATTATTTTTTAGAGGTTTGGGATTTGTTCGGGTTTGGCCAACAAGTATAGATACAAGCAATTACATATTTCTGGGATTAGCAATTTGTCAAATCATCTTAGGACCAATTGGGACCAATTAATACCTCTAATTTAGATTATTAGTTTTTTTTTTTTTTTTTTTTGTTTATCTTTTATTATCTTTACTTTTTTTTTTTTTAATAAAGTATAAAAGTTTTTTTTTTTTTTTTATTATCAAAAAACAAACTAATGCAACCTTTTTATCAAGATTTAGATAGAAAAAAATATAAAGTTTGGTTTTTAATAAGGCCATGCAAAATTAATTAATTGGTTCTCATAACCGGCCGGGTCAAATTTTGTAATTTTTGTAAAAAAATTTTTTATATGTTTTAATAACCGGGTGAGTTTTTTTAAAAAAAATTTAAAAAAATTTATGAAATTGTTATATATAAAATTTAAAAAAAAGCCGGCCGGCCGGGCCTATTTAAAAAGTTTCATATTATGAGAACCAATAAATTAAATTTGAGTGGCCTAAGGCTAATAAGGTTTTTTATTTTATCTATAAAGCAGTATAACAAATTGCATCTAGATACTTATAAAGCAACCAGATAATATCAAATCTTACAATTTTGTAGATAGTTTTAATTGCTAGTTATAATATATAAAACTAACTATTATATAATAAAGATACCAACAAAACTATCAAAGATTAAATAATAATAATAATTATTATTATTTTTTTAACTCTTTGACAGTCTCGTCGGCATCTTTATTAAAAGATAAAAGAAGTATATATAAAATCTACTCTAATATCCACATATAACAGGTCTGGCATCATTTGATCACTTCATGAGCAACTAATTCAAAAAGCAAACTACAGTACATGCGATAAATTAGCACATCGCAGGGTGTTACGTATACTTTAAAAACAAAGTTTATAGATTTTATACAGCATATCGATATAGAATTTTAAAAAAAGCCGGCGGCCGGGTTTATTTAAAGTTTCGTGTTATAAAATCAAGAAATTATATTTCTTTATACCATTAGATTTGTACGATTTGTAAAAATCTCAGCAACTTCTTTAGGGAAACATATCAGATATCATTAACCGTTTTTGAACCCGGACCAATTTTATATATACAGTATGACGTAATAACTGGATACTGTATAGTCCAGTGTTGGGCTCTGGACCAAAAGTCCGCTCTACTGGACTTATAAACTGGACTACTGGACTTATAAGTCCAGTGGACTATTTATAAGCCCAGTTCCAGTTCAATTTTACTGGACTTATAAGCGAGCCCAACACTGACTGTATAGTGTATAACTAGCAAAATGATTGCGTCGATTTGTGTAATTATGAAAATCATATGCGCCGTAATTCAACTTTCATATGTCATGCAATTAGACTGTATTGACCGTAATAGGTTGCTCTGCGAAAATTAGTGATTCTGGGTAATCATTATTTACTTTGCAAGTAAATTTCAGGAATGGTATAATTGGTCTTAACAAAACCAGTCGATTTTTTTAAGGTCATGAAATATTATATCGATATGATATTGTATTCGTTTTAGCATGCTTTGAACGATGATATGCCGATTTGCATTCCATAAAGTCTTCATATAAAGTCGTCCACAGTATAATCTCGTCCCAATGAATACGACCAACTACGGACGATCCCATTGTATTGTAACTTCGTAACCTTAATTAGTTGCGTAACTTTAATTTTAATAAAAATTTTAATCAGAGATCAGATGTAATAACTACGTAACAAAAAACATTGTACGTAAAATAAATATACATGTAACTGATACGTAATGATAATATATTTACTTTAGCGATTTTTTATAATGAATACTCTCAAAGATATTTACCAATCAAATTAAATAGATTCGTAGCAATACTATATAGTCAAGGATGTAAAAATTTTATCAAAATATAAAGAATATAATGCAATTTGACAGTATCGACTTTTAAAAAGTTATTCCGCACACGCACACTTATGTTAAAGCCAAGCGGCACATGCTCGTTAAATTACCGGATTTGTCATTAAGCAGCAGGATTGGCATAGCGTCATAATGATCATATGCACAACCCCAAGTTTAGGGAGACCAGATAAATTTAGTTTCAACAAATCTTTAAAAACTTTGCAGAATTATATCTACAAGTCAGCAATGTTCAAACGAAGTGGAAAATGATGCAAA